CCAAAATAAGAAGTTGATAATATTATTAAATACTCGTACATTTATTATTTTTTAAAAGTGTTCTTTTTTTTTGAAGTTCAAACTTATTACTATGTTGTTTTTATTAAATTGATCTATCGAAAATACTATCAACTTGATGTGTAACCTTTTAGCTAGCGGCCGGTTCAAAGTCAACCAAGGGCGTTATAACATTCATTCTTTTCACGCTTTAAATAGGGTGCATGTGATTTAAATTTGGTTTAGTCTTTGATTTTCGAAAATTAAAGAAAATCTTTATGTCATATTCATGTATTTCAGTGTTTTTTTATTTATAGAATAGCCCAACGAATTTCACTAAACCGTTCTCGTAGTAGTGAAAGAGAATTCTGCTTTAAGTACGCTGCGGTCAACGTTTGACAGTTTCAAGAAAAATAGCAACAACTGTTTTTATGAAGAGGGGAACAAACATAGGTTCACATGAGGATGAGGGTCCATCGTGATGATAAGTGCCCGTGAATATCCGTAACATCAGAAGAAATATGTCTGTTGCCGGCCTTTAAGAGAGGTTTAAGGTTGTTTCCTTAAAGGTCCCTAAATCCTACGAAAAATCGGTGACAGTAATATCCGTAATATAGTCGTACGTGAAAGGGGAATTTCGGTGGTGAATTTATCACTAATGTAATTACTTCAATCACAAGTCCACTCCTGAACAAACGCTTCCCCTAACGGATGCCACATAGCTCGGTACTGAGCTTTATCGACTACCTCTTTTACGTCTCTCAATCTAGAGAGTAGCTGTTCTACGCTTCGCTCAGTTCTCTAAGCTATCCGGCTGGCCCATTACCACTTTAGTTAACTTCAAAAAGTCCTGAATGTGAATGGAATAGTGGCGCAGTATACGATGATTAAATTTAGTGGTTGGAATTAATATACGAGAAAGGTCGTGATAAATGTATTTTAATCTTCAATGTTATGAGTATTACTTATATTCTCTCAAATCACTCTCGATAAGCTTAATGTTAGGAGTGGTTTACGATATTAATTAAATGTCGGATGTGAACCTGTCATTAGGCTACTGTCGCTTCAAAAAAATTGAGAAAGAAACGTCAGCGTTCCGCCAAAAACTAAACAGTCTAAAAAGTTTTATAGAATAAGTGAAACAAACAAAAAGCATACAGTCCCCGATTAAGAATCAAAATACAGAAAGGATGTCACCGCTGAGGACTAAGATGGAATGCTTCGCTTCCAATAAAAAGGGTCTTTGGTTCCCTTCACTTACTATACGAAATACAGAAGCATTACGAGTAAGTAAGCTGCTATTTTACACTGGTATTCTGTGAGCCTGAACTGTATACCCCGGTCGAGCCGACATTATCATGCTACAGCCATGAAAAACACATTAATAAAACTGTAGTGTACCATATTCTAAAAGTACCGTAGTATTTCTTCGTAGTATTCTAAAAAATAGAGATAATCCACAAACACAACTGTTTGTTGCAGCTTTGTCATTGCTGCTTCCACAAGTCTTGGTATTTTATCCCTGACGTAGATCCACGTATACCGTGCAGTGGTAGTGTAAGAATATCTACTGTTCCATGTCGTCCCGTGGGTTTCGAAGGAGGCCACAGAGGGAAATAAATCAGGAGATGGGCAGCGGCGACAATAACAACTAAAAAAAATTTGATTGCCAATTCGCCAATTGAATCAAAAATAACATTTGTACATTATATAATGTTATTTTAAGGGGTTGCTATGATACCAGATGTGAGGGTAATACCTCGTCATATATTCAAATGGGGTTTACACCCGTATTCACAAACGTTACTGTGCAGTCTCACAGTGCGCTCGAACGCACAGGGTACAGAAAACGTATTCATAAACAACACTTGAGGGACGAACGACACTATGCGCTCATTATAATGAACGCACAGATAAAGTAGCTCGCTAGCTACTTTACGCTACGCATAGTGCGACAAAGCAACGCAATTATGTCAAACTGTTTACGGGTATATAGGTGTTTGTTGATTTGTGATACGCTGATGTGTTTTGATTTATTAATTGCGATGGAGTTTTAAGAGAAAATACAAAGAGTATTTATTAAGTACGCAGAAAATATCATAAATATAAAAAAAATTCGGCAGGGGCTGAATATATGCAATTATGTAACTTACATTTACTACCAATATTCTTTTTAATAATCATTACGTTGTTCTAGCATAATTTTTATAATTAGTCTGAATAAATAAAACACTACTGTAGCTCTTACTTTTAATACTATTATTTTTTTTTCATGTTTTTGTTTATATTACGTTTATATTTTGTTTATATTGTGTTTTATCTCTTGTACATGTATATTAATTATCAAATTATTAATAGAAATATTATGATAACTTGTACTGGTTAATTTAATTATATAGTTCTTGTAGTGGCTGAATGAATAAATAAATAATTTAACACTAAAAGCTATTTGTAATATAATCGGTGATGTACGCGTACTGTTATACTTTAGGCTTTAGCTCACTAAGTAGGTATATGGGTGCTGACAGAATAACAGCGTTGTAGATTCTCTGCAACACATGCTGAGTCAGAACCCTTTCATTGTCTTTCTAAAAAGATAATTTTTGTATTAGTTTAACTTTTAAATATTTTATTACTTTTGGTCAATGAATAAATATTTTATTATTATTATTATTGTGGTATCTATATAATTTTCTCACCTGAAAACATAAATATCAATAAAATAAAATAAATACAAAAACTACATAAATAAATAAGATAATTATTATTGTGGGGTATCTATATAGTTTTCTCATCTAGTTGGGTTCTATAAATATATAATTATAAATGAAAATGAAAAGATAAATAATAAACATCAATAACATAAAATAAATATAAAAATACATAAATAAATAAAAGCCCAACCAGATGGAGGCCCTTGGCAGGGGAGACCAAACGGCCGAGGGTTAGGGGGAAAGGGAAAGAAACCGGCGGACGATGCGGGCGGTATCGAGGAGCACCGCCTTCTGCATTTGAGTCCGGAGCGGTCCGCCACTTAGTCCCAGTCGCCTCAGATGACCCGAGAGGCTGACTGGGATTAGCCCGTTTGCAGAGACGACTACAGAAATAATTTCGGTCGGCAGACCACCCCACATGTCGGTCACCTCGTGAGCCAGGTCCAGATATTTTGTTTGCTTGTCTGTTTCGGCTTTCACTAGGTTCTCGTCATACGGAATGGTAAGGTCGACCAAAAATATCCTTGACTGTGCCCGGTCCATCAGCACAATATCAGGCTTATTCGCAAGAATAGTCCTGTCTGTGATGATGGCCCGGTCCCAATAGAGCCTGGCGCGATCATTTTCGAGCACGGCTTCCGGCAAGTACTTGTAATACGGCAATTTTCGGTCCACGAGACCGTATTTTAGAGCGAGCTCCTGGTGTAGAATTCTGGCTACTAGGTTGTGCCTGTGCAAGTACTCAGAGTCAGAAAGCGCCAAACAACCGGAGATGACATGCCGGAGTGACTCCCCGGGATGGCGACAAGCTCGACAGACGTCGACGGTGCCATCCTTTAGGATGTATCTCCGATAGTTGTTGGTCTTAATAACCTGATCCTGTATTGCACAGACAAAACCCTCGGTTTCCCCGAAGAGATCACCAAAGCGTAGCCAGTGGAGGGAGGCTACTGTGTCTACGAAAGGCTCATGTAGAGCCTTGTAGAACCTCCCGTGGAGCTCCTTCTCCTTCCATACGGTCTCCCGGTCGGTAATGCTAAGTACTGCTGGGTCCTGCCATTGCTCGTTGGCTAAGGATAGAGGGGTAAGTCCTTTATCACTAGAAATGACGTCATTATAGAATGGATCATCCAATCTCGCCAGGAAGTAATCACGGAGGCTGCATACTTCGCGAATATGCATGGTGAGCGCGCTCAGAAAGCCACGCCCACCATGCTTTCGCGGCAAGTACAGCCTCATTACCGACGATCTCGGATGATGCATCCTATGGGACGTCATTGTAGTGCGGACTTTACTATCCAGGGCGTTAAGTTCAGTCTGACTCCACCTGAGTATGCCAAAGGTATACATGAGGACAGGCATGACCCAACCGTTATATGCATGTGTCTTACTTACACCGGACAAAAGGCTGTTAAGCACTTTGGTCAAGCGTGCGTAAAACACGTCGCAAACTGACTGTTTCATACCAGCTTCATCGATACCGATATTCTGTGACATATCCAGGTATCGGTATGTTTCAGCCTCGGAAAGGGCCCTTAAGTTGGCGGGCATAGATAAGTCTATGCCCTCAGAGTTAGCAACCCTTCCCCTTTCGACATGGAGGACCGCACACTTATCCGTCCCCAGCTCCATTCCAATGGAATTGCTAAATGCACAAGTGATGTTTAGCAATTCCATAAGATGGGAGCGACTGGAGGCGAATAACTTGAGGTCATCCATATAGAAAAGGTGGGTTACTTTTGCACCTCCTTTCCGAAGCTGAAATCCCCTCCCGGAGCCCTCCAGTAAAGTACTGAGAGGGTTCAAAGATAGGCAGAACCAGATTGGACTCAGACAGTCGCCCTGGAAAATACCCCTTCTTATCCTTATGCGGCTTTCCGCAGCCGTCATCCGCTCGCCTAGATGACAGAGGATCGTACTTCACTGCCCCATACACTGCTCGAGGAAGTCTCTAACTGTACAGTCAGTCTTGTACAGCTCGAGGACCCTCTTTAGCCATGTATGGGGCACCGAGTCAAATGCCTTCCTGTAATCTATCCAGGCGGCGGAGAAGTTCCAACGGTTGCGTTTCACCACTTTGCCAATGACTGCGTCAATGAGGAGTGGTTCCTTGGTTCTACGACCGCCGCCCCGACGTCCATTTTGAGCGCGCGACATCACCTGATTAGAATCCAGGTGACGGGAGATTCTCGTGCTCAAAATGGATGTTAGTGTCTTGTATATGGTTGGTAGACACGTGATGGGGCGGTATTTGCTCGGGTCTGTGGCATCCTGATCTTTAGGAACCAAATGAGTGATCCCAGTAGTGAAGAGGCTTGGGAGCGACTTATGGTTGAGAGCCTCTTGAAACTGTCGGGCGAGCACAGCGTGACACACCATGAACCCCTTCAGCCAGTAGTGATGCAGCCCGTCAAGCCCCGGACTTTTCCAGTTCAGGGCCCTACGGACCGCCTCAGCTACGTCATCTGGCGTTATGATGACGGGGCCATGGGCTTAATACCCGCACACTGCCTCGCCACAACTTCCGTCCAAGGGCCCTCGTTGTGGTTTACGGGCTCTGACCACAGGCTGCGCCAGAATGCGACCGTGTCGGCCTGATTTGGTGCTGGGCCCGTTCCACTTACTATTGGTCGCTCCAATGATTTATAGAACCTCCTCTGATCACTCTGGAAGAGACGATTCTGGTTGAACCGTGTCGATTCTCTCGGTATATCGCCGAATCCGCTTTCCCCAAGCAGCGATTCTTTGCTTCCGGTCGTCTATGTGCTCCGTCAGTTTTTGCATTATATCCTAACATTTGTCCCAGCAAACGCCATCCTGACGGTGCGCACAATCCTTGGCCTGGTATTGCCTGACCTGAAGCATATCAGTCTGCCGATGAGGGCCCTAGCCCTTGCGATACGTTCTTCAATTCCTATTCTCCAGGCTGGGATAGCACTACTTTGTCCAGTAGCGCGTCCAGCCGTGCAAAGTTTGGCGCCTATGATACAGCAGACTGCCAGTGCGGCGCCAAAAAGAATTGAGTCCGTCTCGCAAAGGTCCTGGCTGGCTTCCAAATAGGTAACCAGTATTATTATTATTATGTGTGGGGTATCTATATAGTTTTCTCATCTGGTTGGGATGTATAGATATATAATTATAAACGAAAATGAAAAGATAAATATACATAAATATCAATAAAATAAAATAAATACGAAAATACATAAATAAATAAAAAGCCCAACCAGATGGAAGCCCTCGGCAGGGGAGACCAAACGGCCAAGGGTTAGGGTGAAAGGGAAAGAAACCGGCGGACGATGCGTGCAGTATCAAGGAGCACCGCCTTCTGCATTTGAGCCCGGAGCGGTCCGTCACGGAGTCCCAGTCGCCATAGATGACCAGAGAGGCTAATTGGGATTAGCCCATTCGCAGAGACGACTACAGGAATAATTTCGGTCGGCAGACCACCCCTCATGTCGGTTACCTCGTGAGCCAGGTCCAGATATTTTGATTGCTTATCTATTTCGGCTCTCACGAGGTTCTCGTCATACGGGATGGTAATATCGACCAAAAATATCCTTGACTGTGCCCGGTCCATCAGCACAATATCAGGCTTATTCGCAAGAATAGCTCTGTCTGTGATGATGACCGGGTCCCAGTAGAGCCTGGCGCGGTCACTTTCGAGCACGGCTTCCGGCAAGTACTTGTAATACGCAATTTCCGGTCCACGAGACCGTATTTTAGAGCGAGGTCCTGGTGTAGAATTCTGGCTACTAGGTTGTGCCTGTACAAGTACTCAGAGTTAGAAAGCGCCGAACAACAGGAGATGACATGCCTGAGTGACTCCCCGGGATGGCGACAAGCTCGACAGACGTCGACGGTGCCATCCTTTAGGATGTATCTCCGATAGTTGTTGGTCTTAATAACCTGATCCTGTATTGCACAGACAAAACCCTCGGTTTCCCCCGAAGAGGTCACCGAAACGTAGCCAGTTGAGGGAGGCGACTGTATCTACGAAGGGCTCATGTAGAGCCTAGTAGTACCTCCCGTGGAGCTCTTTCTCATTCCATACGGTCTCCCGGTCGGAAATGCTACGCACTGCTGGGTCCTGCCATTGCTCGTTGGCTAAGGATAGAGGGGTAAGCCCTTTATCACTAGAAATGACGTCATTATAGAATGGATCATCCGATCTCGCCAAGAAGTATTGACGGAGACTGCACACTTCGCAATTATGCATGGTGAGCACGCTCGGAAAGCCACGCTCACCATGCTTCCGCGGCAAGTACAGCCTCATTACCGATGATCTCGGATGATGCATCCTATGGGACGTCATGGTAGTGCGGACTTTTCTATTCAGGTCGTTAAGCTCAGTCTGAGTCCACCTGAGTATGCCAAAGGTATACATGAGGACAGGCATCACCCAGCAGTTATATGCGTGTGACTTATTCACACCGGACAAAAAGGCTGTTAAGCACTTTGGTCAAGCGTGCATAAAACACGTCGCAAACTGACTGTTTCATACCAGCCTCATCGATACCGATGTTCTGTGACATACCCAGGTATCGGTATGTTTCAGCCTCGGAAAGGGTCCTTAAATTGACGGGCATAGACAAGTCTATGCCTTCAGAGTTAGCAACCCTTCCCCTTTCAACATGGAGGACCGCACACTTATCCGTCCCCAGCTCCATTCCAATGGAACTGCTAAATTCACAAGTGATGTTTAGCAGTTCCATAAGATGGGAGCGACTGGAGGCGAATAATTTGAGGTCATCCATATAGAAAAGGTAGGTCACTTTTGTCCCTCCTTTCCGTAGCTGAAATCCCCTCCCGGAGCCCTCCAGTAAGGTACTGAGAGGGTTAAGAGAGAGGCAGAACCAGATTGGACTCAGACAATCGCCCTGGAAGATACCCCTTCTTATCCTTATGTGGTTCTCCGCAGCCGTCATCCGCTCGCCCAGATGACAAAGGATCGTACTCCACTGCCCCATACACTGCTCGAGGAAGTCTCTAACTGTACAGTCAGTCTTGTACAGCTCGAGGACCCTCTTTAGCCATGTATGGGGCACCGAGTCGAATGCCTTTCTGTAGTCTATCTAGGCGGCAGAGAAGTTCTGACGGTTGCGCTTAACCACTTTGCCAATGACCGCGTTAATGGGTAGTGGTTCCTTAGTTCCACGACCACCGCCGCGACATCCATTTTGAGCGCATGAAATCACCTGATTTGAGTCCAGGTGACAAGTGATTCTCGCGCTCAAAATGGATATTAGTGTCTTGTATATGGTCGTTAGACACGTGATGGGGCGGTATTTGCTCGGGTCTGTGGTACCCTGGTCTTTAGGAACCAAATGAGTGATCCCAGTAGTGAAGAGGCTTGGGAGCGACTTCTGGTTGAGAGCCTCTTGAAACTGTCGAGCGAGCACAGAGTGACACACCATGAACCCCGTCAGCCAGTGGTGATGCAGCCCTTCAAGCCCCCGGACTTTTCCAGTTCGGGGCCCTACGAACCGCCTCAGCTACGTCATCCGGCGTTATGATGACGGGGTCCATGGGCGTAATACCCGCACACTGACTCGCCACAACTTCCGTCCAAGGGCCCTCGCTATGGTTTACGGGCTCTGACCACAGGCCGCGCCAGAATGCTACAGTGTCGGCCTGATTCGGTGCTGGACCCGTTCCACTTACCATTGGTCGCTCCAATGATTCATAGAGCCTCTTCTGATCACTCTGGAAGAGACGATTCTGGTTGAACCGTGTCGACCTCTCGGTATATCGCCGAATCCGCTTTCCCCAAGCAGCGATTCTCTGCTTCAGATGATCTATGCGCTCCGTCAGTTTTTGCGTTATATCCGGCTGGGACAAACTGACATTTGTCCCAGCAAACGCCATCCTGACGGTGCGCACAATTCTTGGCCTGTTGTTGCCTGATCTGAAGCATATCAGTCTGCCGATGAGAGCTCTAGCCTTTGGGATACGTTCCTCAATTCTTCTTCTCCATGCTGGGATAGCTCTACTATGACCAGTAGCGCGTCCAGCCGTGGAAACCTTGGCGCCTATGATACGGCAGACTGCCAGCGCGGCGCCAAAAAGAATTGAGTCCGTCTCGCAAAGGCATTTTTTTTTGCGGGTAGTTTTTTTTTGCGGGTAGTCGCAATATAAACACGCAAACTCAGTGTGCTAATTATATTTATTGTTGTTAAATTATTTAAAGTATTTGTTCTTTCTAAATAAATGTGTTAAAACACTGCTAAAGTCTACCAACACGTGCTGTTCTTAACAACTTCTATCTTTTTATTGCTAAAGCACAGTTTTGCATAACCGTCAAATATGGACCCACAGCTTGTAAATAATCTTGATGAACTGGAAAAATTATTTGCTTCTCGCATGCGTGAGTATGAAGATAAGCTTTTAAAAGCCTCAGCTGTTTCATCGCCAGTTCACCCAGATATTTCTTCACTGTCCAAGGACTTAAACGATTTCAAATCCTTTGTTTGTCAATCGCTATCGCTGATCAGAAAACAATTGGACTTAGTTACATACAATATTGACAAACATGAAACAGCAATGTTTCATGTTTGTCAATATTGTATGTAATTATTAAATTTGGTAGTCCGGAGAGTCGTCGTTTTGTCTGGGATAACAAAACTTCACTAAAAGGTTCAGGTATCACGATTTCCGAGTTTTTGACTAAGAAAAGGCACAAAGTATTTATGACAGCTCGTAAACATTTCGGGATTAAGAACTGCTGGTCCGTAGAAGGAAAAATAGTTATTATTTTGCCGGACAAATCACGTCAGAGGATTGAGTCTATGGCAGAACTAAAACCCCTTATTTGCAGATATCCCGACAAGTGTAGTACGGTCAAAGACCCTGGTCAGTCTAAGGAACCCACTTCTCCAAAGGAAGTTGCGTCCAGATTGACTACTAATGCTCCACGGAAGGCTCGTCGCCGCAACTAATCCCTAGTTTCGTTGTGTTCTTTCAGAAAATATAGGTACATAGAATAATCATTTTTTTTTGTTTGTTTTTGTTAGCCGCTTTACAACCACTTTGTAATACTGTTTTATAATTACTTTATATTTCTGTAATAATGATACATTTTTCCAGCTGGTACTTTTATAATAAGATAAGCATTTAATTACACACAGTAGTTATCAAAATGTCTATTTTATCATTCACATTTGCGTAAGCATCATACTAGTCTGTGATTCACATTGAATTGACCTCCGATAGGAGTAATAGTGTTCTGTGGAATTGACGCTCGTGAGTTTTGAGATGACTATTATGCATTTTTTATTTGTTTACTTTTTCTCTTAGTTGTGACGCACGGCCCTTTGGCCACTGTGATACTGTCAAATTGTAGCTTGGGAAAATGTATTATTTATTCTGCTTTGCAGTAATATGTAATAGTGTTATTCAATATTTTTATTAATCTCTTAAGGAAGTTTAATATGTATATAATTATAAGATAGGTTCATATAATAACATTTTAAACTTCTTTTTTTTTAATCGAATCTTATGTATAAATTATACTCTCATAAGATTTTTTTTCTTCAGTATTTCATGACAGTTCTGTGATTGGTGATTTTAGATGTTTTTAAATTTTTTTTTTCTGTTCCGTTTGTATTAGATTATACCTAAGTTTTGTTTTATTTTAAATTAAATAATTGCTAAATTGATATTTATAAATATATACATATATATTGTATTTACATATCATATTTATACATATTTTTTAAACTGTATTATTATATTTACATTTTATATTATATTATTGTTATATTACTATACATTATTATATTATCTTAATTTATTTGCTAAATGGATAATCTTGATGTTTTTGATGACAGTTTCTTCTCATGCTCTTCATCTTCATGTAGTTTTACAAGTGCGGATAGTGAGTTACCTTTAACTTTGTATGACCAGATTTCATCCCTGCGCTCTAAATTTCCTAACAACTTTAATGTTGCACACATTAACATCCAGAGTGTTTCTCGCCATTATCCTGATCTTCTAGCATCAATTAACAGTGCACATCTCGATGCTTTACTAATTTCTGAGTCATTTCTCAAGCCATCACTCCCCCTCTACACAGTTTGCCTTACCTGGTTTTGTCCTTATTCGTAATGATCGTATAGGAAAAGGTTGTGGTGGGGTAGCTATATACCTGCGTTCGGATATATTTTATAAGACCATATGTGCCTCTCCTTCTATTTACTCTCAATCTGCTGAATATCTCTTCATAGAAGTTACTCTCAATCATGTAAAAATGTTGCTGGCGGTATTTTACAGTCCTAACATGCACATAGATTACTTTGATACGCTTGAAAAAATCCTTGCTGATTTTAGTACTACTTACGATCATATTATTCTAATGGGAGATTTCAACACCTGTCTTATCAAAAATGATTCTCGCTCCCAAAAACTTCTGAATTTGGTATCTTCCTTCAATCTTCTCACTCTCCCCCTTCAGGCAACTCACCACTTCCCTAACTGTAACCCTTCTTTGCTTGATATTATGATCGTTTCTTCTACTGATAGTGTCATGTCTCATGGACAAATAACTGCCTCTTTTTCATATCATGATTTAATCTACCTCTCTTATCGTCTCTGTCCACCTAAAAAGAAATCCCAATCCTTGTTCCTTCGTAATTACAAGGCAATAGATCTGGAGTCATTGCAGCATGATATAAGTAATGTTGATTGGACACCTATTGTTGACAATACTAATATTAATGAGAAGGTTTGTAACTTTAATGATATAATTTTGAAGGTATACAATAACCATGCACCGCTCAAACGCGTAAAAATAAAGCGTAATCCTGCACCTTGGATTACACAAGATATAAGAGAACTTATGAGCCAGAGGGACAAAGCTAAGCAAAGGTTTAAACGTCTCCCATCTGAAAATAACTTAAATCGTTTTAAATTTTTACGCAACCGCTGCAGTCGCTTGTGTCGGTATGCTAAAAGACGCTACTTTTAAAACTGCCTACACAATAAAAATTCTACTGAGATGTGGAAGTTCCTTCGTTCTGTTGGTGTGGGCAGGTCTCCGATCCCAGAATACAATGACGTTAAAGTAAAGGATCTAAACAATCACTTTGCTACTCCTCCTATGACTTTAGATCCTTACATCAAATCCAACACACTACTCGCATTGGCGGGTATACCGAAACCGCACGTTTGCCCTTTTCATCTTTCCCTTGTAACGGAGGAAGGTGTCAAAAATCCATCCTAGCCATCTCTTCAAATGCTTGTTGGTATTGATGGTCTATGTGTGAAGATGATTTTGCTAGTTCTACCTTTACTTCTACCAATTCTTACTCACATATTTAATTTTTCTATATCGTCATCATCTTTTCCTTCAGTTTGGAAACAAGCATATATAATTCCTCTGCCTAAGGTTTCTAATCCTTCTTCTTTGTCCCACTTTCGTCCCATATCTATTTTACCCTTTCTTTCTAAAGTTTTGGAACACATCATCCATAGTCAACTCTCTCTCTTCTTATCGTCTAACTCCTTGCTCTCCACTTACCAGTCGGGCTTTCGTCGTGGACACAGCACTGTCACTGCTTTACTTAAAGTAACCGACGATATCCGTTGGGCCATGGACAATAAATCTCTTACACTTTTAGTTTTGCTTGACTTTAGTAGTGCTTTTACCTCAGTAGACTTTGATATTCTTCTCCGGATCCTGGAATCTATAAACATTTCCCCATCTGCCATCGCATGGTTTGATTCATATCTTCGTGGTCGATCACATTGTGTCCGTGTTAATGACACTCTATCCGATTGGTCGGGTATCACTACGGGTGTATCTCAGGGTGGCGTTCTTTCCCTCCTTTTATTTTCCATATTTGTTAACTCTATTACGAGTGTTATTACATCTAATTACGATCTCTACCCGGATGACTTACAGCTTTATCGTCATTTTCCGGTGGGTGATACAAATAATGCAATTGCAGCTATGAATGCGGATCTGGGCCGCATCTGTGAATGGTCTGCATCCTTCGGACTATTAGTTAATCCCACAAAATCTCAGGCCATCATAATAGGCAGTAGGCATTTGCGTAATAGATTAGAATTTACATCACTACCTTTTGTTTGTTTTAATGGCGTTCCTATACCCTTTGCCAATACTGTCAAAAACTTAGGCGTCATATTTGATCACCATTTAACATGGACCACGCATATCGCTGAAGTTAGTCGCAAGGTCTACTTTACTTTGCATTCGCTTAAATGTCTACAAAATTTCTTACCCCTTAAAGCTAAAATATCACTCGTGCTTACTCTCATCCTACCTCTCCTTGATTATGCGGATGCCTGTTATTTGGATGCTACAGAGGAGCTTCTTAATAAACTTGAGCGCTTGCAAAATCAGTGTATCCGTTTCATATTTGGGCTCAAGAAATTTGACCGTATATCTCAGTTTCGTAAGCAACTCAAGTGGCTTCCAATACGACTTCGAAGGAACACTCGATTGTTATGTGTCCTCTATAACATTTTGCACAACCCTTCCTCTCCTACATACCTCAGAAGCCGATTTTCCTTCACCCATCCTCCGGACAAACCATGCAGAGCCCTTGGTAAAAATCTTCTTGACTTTCCCGTCTTTAATTCCGGTTATTACTCCCACTCCTTTTCAGTTCACGCGGTAAGATTATGGAACTCACTACCGTCAATTATAACAAATTCCGAAACTTAGTTGATATTCAAGAAACGTCTTAGAGATAACTACTTTGCATCCTGTTAATTTATATATATATATATATGTAATGAAATGAATGATATTTCATTAATTTGAATTTGCTGCGCTTCGCGTATCTATGTTGTCTGTGGAAGATGGTAGAGGGCGCATCGAAGTGATGTGTAAACTATGATTCAATGGCGGATGACGTTTAGATTATTTTGTGCATTTTATTGTTATAAACACTTGTAGAGAGATAAACCGAAGGATGCGATTGAGGAAGCAATATTAGTAAACTTTAAATGTCGTTTCTTTGTATTTTCAGGTGAGATAGAAGTGTAATTGTCATAACTTGATAATTGTTGTAATATTGGAAAGACGTGTTAAATAAAACAAAACTTTGTATTTTCAGAGAAACAATTTGTGGTTTATTTTGAAGATCCTCAATAATATACCTTATAAAACGACATTTTTGTTAACTAAGAGA